GCAGTGAGGGAAGAACTGGCCTCTCAGGCCCTGTCTTTTTTGTTTTTGTTTTTCAAGACAGTGTCTCTGTGTAGCCATGGCTGTCCTGGAAACCTCTCTGTAGCCCAGGCTGGTCTTGAACTCATAGAGATCCTCCCGACTCTGACTCCCAAGTGCTGGGATTAAAGGCCTGCACCACCACTGTCTGGCTAAAACACTTTTTTATTAAAAAAAAAAAAAAAAAAAAGGAACTTATTTGGAGGAAAACTCACTGAGGTTCCCATGAAAACCTGGCAAAGCCTGCGTGAGGGAATTGGAAATTGAGTGAGGGGCCTTTGCCCTTGAGATCTCCTATCCTGAATGATGCTCCCACAAACATCAGGCCACACTCTGCGTCTCAGTCCAAGCATCAGCTTGCCTTGGAACAGATGGTGGCCCTCTTCTGAGGGAGCTGTCACCTTGACCTTGGGAACTGGGAGAGAATCAGTTCTTGCTAAATCCACCCAGCTGGTACGCACCTGTTACAGCAGCTCTAACCTTATTTTCCAGTGCCTAGGAGGGGACTGGAGTGGGGGCCCACTGGGTACCACTCAGACAAACTGCAACCTTCCATGGTTGCAGAGGCTCCACAGACCTGAGCCCTCACTTAGGTTTAGGCCATTGATCCACGAGGGCTATGGGTCACCACAGGGCATATTTCCTGGGATAATGAGGACCTTTGCTCCCCAAAAGACCAGGATGGGTATGAGTCCAGCTAAAGCTCCTGCTGCCACCCAGGAGGTAGGAGGTAGACTCCTCTCACCCCAGACTTCTCACAGACTGGGATTTCTAGTTCTCTGAGGAAACAGCCCCTCATCCCAACCCAAACTGTCCACTTCTGACGTAGGAACCCCAATTCCCTGCAAGGTTGAAGCTTTCTCATTCAGCACGGCTATGGCTTCCAGGAAATGCCACGCAGACTCTCCCTGAAGGAGCCAGTGTAGAAGAAGCACAGGGCCGTGATTGTCCTCTATGGTTCCCACACCGTGATGATGTCCCTACTGGCCTCAGGACACCTTCCATATCTCAGTCCATATATCTACTGGCCTAGACTCGATGTCTCCTACCCCCAGGCTAACCTTGAACATAAGACCTTGCCTCAGTTTCCTGAGTGCTGAGATTACAAGGTATATGTCACCAGAGCCCACTATCTGTCCACTTCTCAAAAAGAAGCTTAAAACTATTTATTGATATATGTGTGTGTGTGTGTGTGTGTGTGTGTGTGCTCGCTCGCGTATGTGCAGGTGTGTATACACGTGCACTTGTGAATGTGTATGTACACAAATGGAGGTCAAAGGACAAATTTCAAGAGTTGATTGTCTCCTTCCATCATGACCAACATGTGGCAGAGGCAGTCAGATCTCTGTGGGCTCAAGGCCACAGTCCCAGGGATTGAACTCAGGGTGTCAGTCTTGGCAGCAAACACATCTCTCTCTGTGTCTCCATTTTTTAAAAAATTGATTTATATTTCTATGGGTATGAGAGTTTGCCTGCCTGCATGTATGTGCATCATGTGCATTCCTGACACCCACAGAGGTCAGAGCCCCTGGAAACTGGAGTTATGGATGGTCATGAGTCACTATGTGGGTGTTGGGAACCAAACCTGGGTCCTTTTCAAGAGCAACAAGTGCTTGTAACTGCTGCGTCATCTCTCCAGCCCCCCTTCTCTGTCTCCTTTTATTTGACTGTGCTAATCTATGTAGAGTCCTGGCTGGGTTCCAGGGTGCAAGACTGCCTGTGACTCACTCACCTTCTCCTGCATCCCACTTGAGGTGACACTTCAATAATATTTCCAGCTACTGGAGGTCACTCAAGACTGGCAATGGGGGAAACTTAAGGGCTCCCTGTAGGAGCTACCCAGCAGTCTGCTTGCCTCACTAAGGGCTTCCTTGTAAGTCACAAGGCCTAGCACCAAGAGACACAATCACAGTCCGAGCACATCAGTCCCCATACCCAGGCTCAGTGGGACCAGAGCAGCTGCCAATATGAAGGTTCAAAGAGGCTGTTGAGCAAGGCCTGGTAGTAGATGTTTTCTTTGTTTGTTTTGGTTTTTGAGACAGAGTTTCTCTGTAGTCCTGGTTGTCCTGGCACTCACTCTGTAGATTAAGGTGGCCTCCAACTCACAGAGATCCACCTGCCTCTGCCTCCTGAGTGCTGGGATTGAAGGTGTGCACCACCACTGCCCAGCAGGTTAGCAGATGTTTGTAAATTCAACACTGGTAGATGGAGCTGAGGCAGGACAAAAGCAGGTTCAAGTTCAGCCTGGGCTACAGAGTAAGTTCAGGGTCTCCCTGGGCAACTTAGTGAACTCCTGTCTTCAAATAAAAGGTAAAATGGAGCCTTGTATATACCCCTTGTATACCTCCCACTTGTGGTACATAGTGGGAGGCAGAGGCAGGCAGATATCTCAGGGTTTGAAGCCATCCTAATCCACAGAGTGAGTTCCAAGACAGTTAGGGCTAAAGAGTGAGACCCTGTTTTTTTGTTTGTTTGTTTGTTTTGTTTTTTCCTTGTTTGTTTTTAAAGTGGGCTGGAGACTATTTTCAGTGGTAGATCCCCTGCCTAGAATTCCCCAGTGAGATGCAGTGGCAATGCTCAATGGTAGAATACAAGGCCCTAGGTTCCATGCTCAATACTGAAACTTAACTTGTCCTAGTTTAGGTAATAAACCACGTGATGTCCTCTGTGTGTGTGTGTGTGTGTGTGTGTGTGTGTGTGTGTGAGAGAGAGAGAGAGAGAGAGAGAGAGAGAGAGAGAGAGAGAGGAGGCACCAAAAGAAGCCAGCTGGGTTTCTGCACAAGGCCAATAAGTGCGCCTTCTATTCTCAGTGGGGGTGGGAAAGATGGCCTTGCTATTTAAGCAGGCATGGGTGGGTGGGGACATTGCCAAAGAGAGCAAGAAAAGCTGAAGAGGGGCCTGGAGAGATGGCTCAGGGGTTAAGAGCACTGACTGCTCTTCCTTAGGATCCAGGTTCAATTCCCAACACCAACATGGCAGCTCACAACTGTCTGTAATTCCAATTCCAGGGGACCTGACACCCATGGCAAAATACTAATGTGCATAAAATAAAAATAAATTTAAAAAAAAAATGAAGAGAGTCTCAAGGTCAAGGAGGTGGGGCTGAGGACATTGTCAGGGCTTCTGTAAACCTCTGTGTAGGTTGCACAGTGGCCAAGGTCACATACTGGATGTCCAGCCACTGCATGAAACCACAAAGAGGTCCCCAAGGGCTTTAGGGCTAAAGTTCCATTTCACAGAGGAGAAGGGTGAGGCCAGAAAGGCAGGCCCTGCTTAAGGCCACACACAGGAATCACTGTGCATCTTAGGAGCAGGTTTGAAAGTGGTATGCAAGTGGTATGCATAGGCCTGACTCCCTGGTCCAGCCTGTAGCACGCCTAGTGTGTGTGCCTAGTCTCAGATCTCACATCAGCCCTCCTAAGGCTCTGTCACCCCCATGCCCCACAGCTCTTCTTCTAGACTGTCCCATCCCCAGTGCTTTGTCCTGCAATGGGCCACCCCTCCCTTCTGTCTCATCCAAAACAGCCATTGCTGTTACTCTATCCCTATGACCCAGTTTCTCTCCTTGTCTATGCCTCGGGGCAGGAGACCCTAGGGGGACAGTGTCCCCCTTTGAGGCAGGTCCAATGGTGGATCAGGTGTCCCAGGTGGGGCAGGCAGGCGTCTGCCTGCTGGGGTAGGGACCATGGCTTTCAGGTCTTCAATAGCTCAAGATTAGGTTCCCTCCCCTGGGACCCCTGTTGTGTGGCCATTGTGATGGCCTGGGAACCTAGGCCTCCCAGACAGACAGAGCCTGGCCTGCTTGCCCCTGGAACCCAGGCCTCAAACTGGATCCCAGCATCCTCTGGGCTGTTTGGATAGACAGGGGAGAAACACCCATAGCCATAGTGGGCACCAGGGAAGACATGGGCCCCAGATCTGTCACTCACTTTGTCTACCATCCAGGTCCACTGTTTTGTTGGGAAGGTGGGACCTTGGGCATCCGCAGGGAAGGAGCATATCTGAAACTATCCTTTGTGTTTGGGTGGCTGCTGCTATCAGGTCCCAGGCTGTGTGCAGGGCTAGGGGGGACAAGGTAAAGGAGGGTGGATGGAGGAGCATTGCAAACCCAGACTTCCTACATGAGACAGAAACTGAGCAGTGAGGTGGAGCCTTCCTAGTTGAGCTGAAGGGTGGGGTGGAAAGAATCCAGAAGCCACCTAGGGTGGCTGAGTCCAGGGTTTTCTGCAGGAAATGAAATTGGGAATTCATCGGGGTTCAAATCCTGGTGGCTTCCCAAGGAAGGGGACGGACCAGAGCCTATCTCTAGGATGCAGAAGTCAGCCTTCTTTATTCATCAAAGCTCACCCCACTCCAGCTCAGAAAAAGAAGTAAGAGGAAGCTGGCCATAGCGCTGGCATGGGACTGTGGTCTAGGGAAAGACTGGTCCAGAGAGATGCATGGGTTAGCACAGTGGGGTAGCCTCAGCTCTGATGAGAGACCCTTAGGCACCAAGACAGGGGCAGGTGCAGGACCATTATACACCCTCTGGGCCAGACCTCTTTGGTGAAGTGGCTGCCTAGAATGACCCCTGATGTCACCTCAGCCCCTGGAACATCCCCTCGCTTCTGGTAAGGGGGTCTATTTTCAGTGTCAGCTGCCACTCCTATCATACCAGCGTGGTCCCTCCAAGTGTACCAGACAGGAAACAGGGGACTCTCTGGGATCCAATTCCCCTGCTGGGTAGATATTGTGTGTTGGGAGTAAACAGAGTCACACCCAAGTATGTATGAGATGCCCCCACTCATGCTGTGTGATCCAGGTTGGCTCACTTCCTTCTATGAACCACTGTGTCTTATTTATAAAATGGGGCTGGGGGAGGGAGGGCCTCTACCTTCCTGCTCCTCATGCCTTGATCATCAAAACACCCCCTTCCCATCCTCCACCCTGGAGCTTGCAAAGCAGGAGAGATAGTCCTGAGGTACCGTGTGGGGTGGGGGTATGGGAAGCTGGAAGCACCAATGTTGGATGGCGTCGTCTGCAAGGAGCTCCCTGCACTAGGCGGGAGGGGGCCGGCAGCTGAACCTGGCAGGCATGAGGCCCAGTTCCGTCTGTGGCTGTGGCTTGTGTCAATACAAGCCTTCCTGTTTTGGAGATTAAACCTTAGCTGAGCAAACAGCTGCACCAGGCTCCTCCCTCCACTGTGTCCACAGCCCGCTCCACCTGGAAGCCCTGAGGGTGCCAGGGACAGGTGGGGGATGGCTCTGCCATTTCTGCTCTCTTCAGGACCTTGTTCAGACCCCCAAAATGCCTGGCTCCTGTCCCAGTGTCCCCAACCCATCAAGGCCACTACCTGCGGAAGCCCCCAGTGCGATCCTTCCGCTCTTGGCGGCCACATGTCCTGACTGCAGCTACATCCTCTGCCCTCCAGTGACCTCCTGCAAGAAGGCCGGAGAAAGCAACTCCTGGGCCACACTGCTGGGCACATGCCCAGCTCATGAAGAGCTCAGGCATGGCAGGAAAGCCACCCTGGGGAGCCCCTGAGCAGAGGCCTGCCACTTCTCAGCAGCCACTTTGTGGGTGAGATTCTTTGTGGGGTGCCGCGTCCTGTGTGACCTGGGTGGTTTAGCAGCACCCTGGCTTTCCCCCAATGCTCAGCATATGCACATTTCTCCCCAACTGTGCTTGCATATTGGTGCCCTGTTGGGGATAAAGGGCTTTGTGAGTTATGCCCCCCACCACTAGGAATTCTAAGAAGGTGCTCTATCACTGAGCCCTTCACTGGGGAATTCTAGGCAGGTGCTCAACCACTAAGACACACCCCCAACCCCTCACTGGGGGATTCTAGACAGGTACTCTACCACTGAGCCACACCCCAGCCCCTCACTGGGGAATTCCAGGCAGGTGCTCTACCACTGAGCCACAACCAACCCCTTACTGGGAGATTCTAGGCAGGTGCTCTACCACTGGGCCACCAACTAAACCCATTTCTGCTCAATTGTGATAACAAGAACTCCTTCTTGTCATTCATTGTCAGATGTCCAGGACAGGAATCACCCTGAATGAAACCCACTTGGCCATAGGCCCTGAAGACAGCCAAGGAGCAAAGTGGTCCCAGCTAGAGAGAGAGGGCAGAGCTTCAGAAGCCCTGTTTCCCTTTTATGCTAGCCTCAGCTGTTCCCTGCATGCCTAGAGCCTCTTGTCCCCTCCCTTGGTGAACCTCTGACCTACCTGGCAATGCCTACTTCTTTCTATAGTTCCCTCACCCCCTGAAAGACTAAACTCTAACATTGCTTAAAGCCTACCAAGGAAGCAAGGAAAGAAAACAAAAGCTGGCCCAGGCAGTCTCCATGCCCCTCCCAGTCCTCTACCTCTCAAGGCTCCAAAGATATGCAAACTTAGAGGCTCAGGGTGGACCAACATGGGACTCACAATCATTTCTTCATTTATGCAGTTTGCTGCACTTCCCTTAGGCTCACATACCCGCCCTGGTTCCCTACTCTCTCTCATGTGGCATCCTGAGCCTAGTGTACATTAGGGCACCCAATGTTACTTAAGTTAATGTGAGTTAAGGAGTTGGCTCCATGGGTAACATGCCTGCCATAAAAGCATGAGAACTTAACTAGATCCCCAGCTAGGCTTGATGGTACACAACTCACCTGTAATCCCAAGGCAGGGGAAGGTGTAGAGGCAGGTGGATTACAGGGAGCTTGCTAACGGACAAGTATAGCTGAACTGACATAGTCTAGGTTTAGTGAGCGACTCTGCCTCAAAAAGTAAGGTGGTGAGTGAGTGACAGAGGAGGACACCTGATATAGATGGCTGTCCTCCACACATGAACTCATAGATGAGTGCACCTACACACACACACACACACACACACACACACACACACACACACACCAATAAATAAATAAACTAAGTAAATTTAGGGACTACATTGGATTGGTGGGTGAAATAGGAGAGAGGATGGATGGGTGGACAGTTGTACAGACAGACAAATGAGTAGACTTGAGCAGAGCCCATCATTGACACTCTAATGGTGGTAGCTTGTCTCTGGGGATGTAGTTGTCATTCTGGTATGTATGTAGCCCCCAACCCCATCCCACCCTGTAAGATCCCTGGAAGCTCAGGTTTCCAGGATCTCAGCCCAGGACCTCGGTCACCCCAGTCACCAGGCAGAGTCGAAAGCTTGATGCAAACTGCATGAGGCTTTATTATAGTTGTTTAACGAGCTAACCCCATGTTAGCTCGGGTCTTTCATCCACCCACCATGGCGGATGGCTAGGAAAGATCGCTCGAAGCATTTGCATAGAGATCTTATAGGGCAGAGTAAGGGGAGTGTCTAGGGGTATTCACAGGCTCAGGATTGGTGTGCCTCCAGGCTTGGAGGGTTTGCCCTGTGTTGATTGGTCAACTGGTTGTTATGGCTCATAGGCCCTCCCAGGGTGGTTGCTATGCTCTGCATGTCATTGCTGTGCACTTGTCCGTAAAGTACACCCAGAGCCACAAAGCATAGCACCACCAGCTAACTTCTGATTGGTTCCTTGCCATGAGGCAGGCATCTGACCTCCTAGTGACTAAGGCAAGGTCAGACAAGCACATGTTCGGCTGTTATGGCTGCCGAAATGGGAAGCTGGTCCCTTCAACCCCACCACTTTTCATACTAGCCTGGATTACCTCAAATGCCATTTCTATCTCACTCTAATCAGAGCAAAGGAAGTGGGCCTTGTAATGAAAACCTGTCATCCCACCTACTCGAGAGATGGAGGCAGGAGGATTGCCAGATCTGTCTCAAATCAAAAAGTGAAAAGAGGGCTGGAGAGATGGCTCAGAGGTTAAGAGCACTGACTGCTCTTCCAGAGGTCCTGAGTTCAATTCCCAGCAACCACATGGTGACTCACAACCATCTATAATGAGATCTGGTGCCCTCTTCCGGCCTGCAGGCATACATGCAGGCAGAACATTGTATACATAATAAATAAAATCTTAAAAAAAAAGTTAAAAGAGCTATAGGGATGTAGCTTAGTGGTAGAGCACCTGCCTGGAATTCCCCAGTGACGGGCTAGGGTGTGGCTCAGTAGTAGAGCATCTGCTCAGCATATTGAGGCCCTAAATTCAACACCTAGTACTACTGAATCATATATAAATAAAATAAAATGAGAAGGAGCAACAACAGGTAACTTTACTGAGGAAGAGCTGACAGTCAGGGAGACACTCACTCCATCACTTAATAAGCAGCATCCCATTTGAGCAGAGACTCTGACCTCAGCTTCCACCTCCCAGCCCTCAGCCTCCTCCCACTGTTCCTGGGATCCTGTTCCACTGACTGGGCATGGGGTCACGACCAGCAGGCTCCAGTACCACCAGACCCACCCCTGCCTGCCTATGGCAGCTGCACAAGTTAGCCATTCTTAAAGAAACAAAGGCTGGCTGGGTTGTGATGGCTCTGGCGTCTCCCTCGAGGGTGTCTGGCCTTTGCAGGATGTCAGGAAGCAGATCTGGGTGGTGGTCGAACTCTATCACTGGGGATTGCAAATAACATTAAGCCAGCTAGCCCCCCAGCCTGGCTGCCCTCATAGGGTCATAGGGAGGTCCAACCACCAGCTCAGGCAGGGACGATCCGGCTCAAGGCAGATGGGTTCTCCCCCTGCTGCAGAGCCCAGCACATGCCTCCTTTTCTCTCTCAAACCCTAGGTCTGAGGGAAACCCTTGGGAGGCTGTGTGATAGCTGTGGTATTATTCTCTGTTCAGAATACCCAAAGGCTAGCCTCAGGCACTGGTCCCAGGTGCTTGCCTGAGGTCTGTGCCCTGGGCCAGCTCAGAGCAGGTGGCCCTGCCACACCTTATTACTCCTAAGATTTATGGTTTGGAGGACAGAGGCAACAGAATGACTCCTCAACCCACAGCATGTGTGTATGTCTGTTATCCCATCTGTCTGTCTCACACATGTCCATTACTCATATAGTAGATGCCAGGCTCTTGCTCTGGGCATGGGCTGAGCCTTGACAGTTTCTGCTCTCATGGAATTGACTTCTGGCACCTTTGCAGATATCCACATCTCTCTCTGGTGTCTGCCCATCCATCCACACCATTTACCTATTCTGTTGCTCATCCATTCATCCTACTCCATTTACCCATCCTCCCATCCATCAGACTGCCCATCCATGCACTTATTCTCTTACCCTTCCATTCATCCATCCTTCCATTCACCTACCCACTCCATTCACCTACTCTTCCACCCACCCATCTACCTGGTTGCACCTTCATCCATTCACAATCCATCCATCCTCCCACCCTCTAGCTACCCCATTCATCCACCCACAGCCTGTCTGTCCATCTTCTACCCTTTATGTAGCATTCTTACTGAGCCCTATTTTGTGTCAGACCTGGACAAGGAGTAAAATGTTACCCTGACTTCAGGGAGAAGGACTTAGGTATTCTCATTCACATGGTAAGTGCCAAGATGAGAGGTGACAAGGTTTGGGAAATGGGCACCATTTGGGGCTTGTCAGGATACCCTAAGCCAGGGTGCTCTCTGAAGCCTTGCCCAAACACCCAAAGGGACCAGGCTCTAAAACACACTGGGGCCCAGGAACAATCAAGCAACTGGGTCCCTTGAATTATGCCTGCACAGCACCAGGGTAGAAGGTGCCAGCCATGTCTTTATTATAGGGTGAGTGAAGCCCTCAGCCTGCAGTGATCTGGGAACTGGCCCAGGACCACACAGAGTGTGGGCAGCGATGAGGGGTGCTGGGCATAGCGGGCAGATGTGTAGGTCTGAATGGGGAGGCTCACTCTCTTGCAGCTGGAGTCTGTCTGATCTGTTCTTGCGTAGTGCCCACCCCAGTGTCCACCTCAGCTGATGGGATCAGCTGCCGTGCTGTTCCTACCCTTGTACCCATCCCCCACATGCTTATGTTCCTGCCTTTAATCTCAGTATTTGGGAGACAGAGACAGGCAGATCTCTGAGTTCAAGGCCAGCCTGGTCTACAGAGCTAGTTCCAGGACAGCCAGAGCTGTCATACAGAGAAACACTGTCTTGAAAAACAAAAAAAAAACAAACAAACACTAAACAGGATTCCATGTAACTCAGGTTGGCCTTGAATCTCCTGTCCCTGCCTTTTGAGTGGTGGGCTTGCAGGTGTTCCCACCACCAGGACCAGCCTCTCTGAGCTCTGCTGCCCTGGTAAGGAAGGCTGGTTTCCAGACTGCCAACTCCAAGCTGTGATCAGTGCTGGGCTGCCTCGGATGGCTTCCTGCAGAGTTAATGGCTCACTTATTGAGTCTTCATGGATCTTCCCAGGACCCTGCATGGGAGGGCAGGCTGCTGCAGGAGCCTCAAGAAACCAGGAGAGGGGTGGTGGGCAGATGGCTGTTTCCAAACTAGTCTCAAGAGACTAGTGGGGCAAGGGAAGGACTTTGTGAGTCTAACTTCAACTGGAGACCCCTGGATCAGCCTACAGGGCAACTGTAGTCACTGAACACACTCTGTTCCTTAGCACACCAGTTTTGAACAGTCCTAAACAGGGCTTCTACCAGACAGGAACCAACAGAGTGAATCAGGAAGCAAAAGCTACACCTTGAGTGTGAGGGTCAGGCTGGCACTCTTACCTGCTCTGTCACCAAGAAGGCTGGGAACCCAAGTATGTCCCTGTTGGCAATAAACAAGGTAAAGTTAATTTTGGCCACCTAATGAAAGCTGTGACTCAGGCATCAGATTAGGGGACACCGAGGATTCAGATAGAATCTGACATGGAGGATAATGTAGGATTCTAATCCTGCTCTATGAGGGTGGAGGGAAAAGATCGTGCAATGGGTTCGGATTAGAGGGGAGAAAGCAGATATGGAAAGCAATGGGACCGTGGAGACAGGACTTCTGTAGAGTCAGAGAGACAGCTGTTACTTTCTCAGTGTGCTGCCTGAATGACAATGAATGAAGAGTGTCTCTGGAATGCACATGGTAATATCAGAACCCAGGGTGATTCCTGAAACCCTGATGCTCTCCCATTGGTGTCCTCTGTGGCCTACTAACCTGCTCTCCAGCTTCAAGGCTAGCAAAGTCTCAGGACTGTAAGGAGAGGGAATGAAGCTGAAGCCCAAGACCTCACAGCCTCAAAATAAATGTGGTCATAAAAAAAAAAGGTAAAAAGAATCTAGAGGTGTGGCTTAGTAGAGCACCTGCCTAGAATCCCCCGAGTAAGGGCTAGGGGTGTGGCTCAGTGGTAGAGCACCTGCCTAGAATTCTGCCCCAGTAAGGGGCTGGGATATGGCTCAGTGGTAGAACACCTGCCTAGAGCCCTCCAGTGAGGGGCTGGGGTGTGGCTCAGTGGTAGAACACCTGCCTAGAATCTCCCCAGTAAGGGGCTGGGGGTGTGGCTCAATGGTAGAACACCTGCCTAGAATCCCTCAGTGAGGGGCTGGGGCATAACTCAGTGGTAGAGCACCTGCCTACGACCCCCCACCCCCAGTGAGGGACTGGGCGTGTGGCTCAGGGGTAGATCTTTCTCCTAGCAAGCATGGAGACCACTACCATCAGCAGGAACAACAATAACAAAACAGGACAGTAATGCCATCCTGCAGTCACAGGTGGGAATACAGAGGCTAGACAGAGCAAGGTCACAGGTCCTAGGATAAAGCTGCTAAGCAGCCCTTCTGGGATCTTCCCTATGCTCCTTCCTGGGCCTAGGCCTGGGCCCCTGACTCTAGAATCTCTCTTCTCAAGACAGTTACTGAGGACCCCAAGGGGCTTCCTGAATGTCCTGGTCTTCTCTCTACAGCCCCTCATTTTCTGTACTGGAATAAGTGCCCTACCTCCTACTCCCAGTGGGTCCCTGAAGCAAGCCTTGGGGTCCAGGGGAAGGGAGTGTGTCGGTCAGAGCTGGGCGGAGGAAGCAATAGCGAGGCTGGCCAGTCATGTCTCCCTCTGGTTTTCAGACCTCAAGGAGTAACCATGAAATTCCATTCTCCTGACAGCAAAGACACTGAGTCATTCTGGCCAGAGCCTGCAGCCCCCACAAGAATGCTGTAAGGCTTTGACCTGCCATTCTCAGATCAGAAGCCACAGCCAGAACAGGGCTCCTCACTCCCCTCAGCCCAGCTTCGTGAGCATGGCTGACTGTTGTCTCCGCTGCTCTACTGCACGCTGGCTGCACCAGCCCCTGTCTGAACATTGGCTTGTTTTCTTTACAATGGGCACACTCCTCACTCTTCCTGGTTGTGTCAAAGCCACAATAGCTATGAAAAATGGGGAGCCTGGAGGCTTGGTTCTTAGGGGCTTGAGGGAGTCCCAGGACTGGGATGGAGCCCCACAGAGTCTAAGACCTGCTCAGGTGGGTGTGGAAGGTATGGCTAATTCCTGTTTGTTCTCCTCCCACTCACAGACCTGCCCACTAAAGATCCTTGCCCTTGGCTTAAATTGAAGCCATGAAGAAAGTTGTTGTTGTTGTTGGGGAGGGGGGTAACAGGCTTGAGTGGTTGGGAAATGAAGAAGACTGGAGGGGGGCTAGGACTGCCACAAGACATGTGGACACCAGGAGAGTATTGGATTCACAGGTGACAGCAGGGAGCCATGGAAGAATAGTCTATTTTGAGGGGGGTGGGTATCAGAGCAGGGTGGTCCAGGAGAGAGAATTCAGAGAGGAACCTCATCCTAAAATATTTGGATGGCAGATAGGCAGGGCTTGGTGGTGGGAAAAGATCTGCTGGGATGGGTGGGTTAATGTTTGGAGGGCAGCCCACCAGACATCAGGTAGGACCTCTTCCTTCTTGTCCTAGAGGGACTGGGCTCTGACAGACAGGGGGGAGGGGAGAGGGAGAGAGGTTTATTGCAGGAGGTGACGCCATGGGAGACTTGTCACTCGGGCATAGCCAGCACCATCTGCTTAGGCATCTGCCGGGTGTGTGCATGGAGGGGGGGGGGGGGGGGTGTGCAGAAAGAGGCCTGGGAACCACTATATCCCACTCCCTCCCACCACAGAGGGCCAGTGTTGTTCCACAGGGTCCTCAGAGCAAATGGACCACAGATCAACTCCTGGGGCCGGGTGGGAGGGTGGTGAAGGAGCCTGGTTACACATCAATTCAATGTCATTTTATTGTATTTTTGAGATAGTGTCTCATGTAGTTCAGGCTGGACTCAAACTACTAGCTGAGGAAGATCTCGCTCTGACCTCTTACGGGAATGGGTCACCATACCCGCTTTTATTTAGTGCTGGGATGGAACCAAGACTTCATTGCATGCTATGCAAGCACTCTACGAACTCTGCTCGGGCTGGGCTATATCTCCAGCCCATTTTTTCACATAGGAGAGGCTGACCTGATGTTCACTATGTAAGTCAGGCTGCCTTTAAAATCTCAGGGTCTGTTTTGGGCTAACATGCCTATCTTCAGAAAGCTAAAATAAATTAATTAATTAAAATTAAAAAATTATTTAATTTGAGGGCAGTTCTGTGTATGTTGTTCAGGCCAAATTGCACGTGTGGAGATCAGAAGAAAACAAACTTGATTCTTTCTGACCACGTGGATCCTGGGAGTGAAACTCAAAAATCGGCAGCCCAGGCAGGAGTTGCCTTTACCCACTGAGGCATCTGGCCAGTCCCTTCAATAAGTCTTTTTAAGAGTACCTGATCCAGCCTGGGATCCAGCCATATGTTGACATTCTTAGGGAGAGACAATAAGAGTGTGGTATATAAATAACTAAAATTGCCACTCCAGTGTTAATTATAAGTCCCAGGGAATCGGCGACAGAAGGAACAGCGATTTATCCATGGTGGCAGGGTGGGCTCAGACTTCCCTTGGAGGGGGACGCGGAAACTGAAGCCAACCAGACTCAGGGGCATCCAAGCAGAGAGCCGCCCCCAGCTGCGCTCCCGGAAGATGCAGCGGGCTCGGGCTCGGACCCTGATCCCACTCCGGGGATCTCTGGCCACTTCCGGACCCGCAGCCTCTCACCCTACCATCAGGCGCGCATTCCTGCCGCCCCCGCTCGTGCTGGGCGCAGGCAAGGCCCCCGCCCGTGGGAAGGGGGCCGTGTGCCGGGGAGGCGGGGCTGGAAGGGAGCACAGCTGGGTCACATCTGGTCGGAGGTGGGAGGAACCAAATGGAACAGAAGGTAGCCTTTCATCCCGTGAGGGAAGGGGCGGCCTGAGTGTCTCCTCGCCAAAGGGCGCCTGAGGTTTTCGGGGACCAGTCCTTCCCATATAGGAACATAATGTCAGGACTGGCCTGCTGAGGGGTTTGTAGAATTTAGTTACATATACCTTTTCACCTGAACCGCACCTAAGGTACACATGTCAGTCAGTAGGGGCAGCCCACAACCAATCGCTCATGGACACCCCGCAGGCCACCACTTTGGCTCAGTCAGCACGGTCCCCAGGGAAGGAAACCCGCTCGGGGACAGGAAGTGCATAGCGAGAAGCTAAGGATGTCGCCCGCGGAGGAGCACGGGTTCTATCACCCAGGTCCCAGCGTCGGGGTGGGGGTGGGTGCGCGTCCCTCCACGTGCAGCTGTAGCGGGCGTTGCTCAGCCTGGATGTCGCTCAGAGCAGCTCAGGAGGGTGACAGGGCGCGGGCCGGACGTGCTCCTGCGTAAAGGGGGCTGGTGCCGTGGGTGCCCAGCTGGGTTGTTCCCAGTCCGCCCGCCCCCCACCTCACACCTCCACACCTCTCCACCTCCCCATCACCCGTCTATGTCCCACGTGGGGGCGAGAGAACGCCCTAGAGGTCACGCCCCCAGAGTAGCAGCCAATAAGCGTGAGGAGGCGTGGTAGACAGGGGAAGTTTAAGAGCGCTTGGAGCTAGAGGCGCGCAGCTGGACCGGGAGCCACGGGCAGCCGGACCAGCTGGCACGGGGAGGGCACAACGTGCTGCCGCCGGCCACCATGCTCCAGCGCTGCGGCCGGCGCCTGCTGCTGGCGCTGGCGGGCGCGTTGCTGGCTTGCCTCCTGGGGCTCACGGCCGACCCGCCACCGACCCCAGTACCAGCCGAGCGTGGACGGCGCGCGTTGCGCAGCCTGGCGGGCTCCGCTGGGGCGGCTCCGGGTCCTGGGTCCAGGGCGGCCGGGGAGCCCGGAGCCCTTGTCCGCGAGGTGCATAGCCTCTCCGAATACTTCAGTCTACTCACTCGCGCGCGCAGAGACGCGGATCCACCGCCCGGGGTCGCTTCCCGCCCCGCTGATGGCCACCCGCGTCCCCCGGCCGAGGTCCTGTCTCCCAGTGACGTCTTCATCGCGGTCAAGACTACCAGAAAGTTTCACCGCGCGCGTCTCGACCTGTTGTTCGAGACCTGGATCTCGCGCCATAAGGAGATGGTGAGACCCCGCGCGCCCTGGGCAGGGGGATGGAGTAGGGATCACTCTCTGTCTATAGCTGCTCTGACTGCATCAATAGCTTTGGGTCTATTTGGGAAGGGATGACACCAATCCGTCCCATTCCAGCTCGGCGTGGCTGCTGAGGCCCACTTTGCCCTGGAAGTTTCTTCCCATGTTGCCAGGGTCACCCCAGACACACTCTAGGTCTGGACGAGTAGCTTCTAGCTTGGGGTTGGCCTTGTGATGCTTCCCCTAAACACTGGAGCGAATGGTCGTATTTGTTCTCAAACTTTTATGAACAAATTGGCTCAGCAATCATCCTGAATCCCCTCCACTCTGAACTGATCCCTTCCTCTTGGTTAGAGGGTACTTCCCCTGAAAGTGAGGGAGGGGCCTTAAGGCTTAGCACCCTTGGACCAGATATAGTGAAAGAAATAGGGTGCTGGCTTTCCAGGCTTGTGCAGAACCTTTTCTTTTGTAGCTGAGCTCCCCGCAGTTGGACATCAACTTCATACACATAATAAAAAGACACACCCCACTTTGAAAATCTCCCTGGAGGCTACAACAGGACCGTTGGGGCGGGGAGAGCAGAGTGCATTGCAAGTGTGTGTGTGTGGGGGGGTGGGTACTTGGTGTGAAGATGAAGGCTCATTTTCCTTCCTGCTCCAGCCCCAGGGAGCCAGGGCCATCAGGCTTGGCTAGGCTCTGTCTTAGGACAGAGTGGAGGTTAAGAGAACAAGCTCCTATCTAGTCTTGGTCAGAGAGGGGCCCTGAGAACCCCACGGCAGCCTCCTGAGAATGAGGCGTCCCTTTCCCAGGGGCTCAGCAGGCCTTCAGGAGGGGGCAGCGGGGGCCATGGGTTTTGTTTGGCTGCGGTGCCGTTAGGATTCCCAGCGCTAGGCTGCTCTCACGCCGGCCCCTTGGGCAAGGCAACAAAGCCCCTTTCTCCAGCCGAGAAAGGCGTCGGCCTCTTGTGTACAGCTATGCGCTCCATGGGAACCGTTGGCTGGCGTGCTGGCCACTCAGGTTGCCTGGCGATGAGGGGGCCTCTGTGTCCTCCCCACAACCCTGAATGACAGCCCTCGTGGGGCACGATCTCTGAGCCAGGGCACCCCCCACCCCCCACCCCCGCCTTCAGCCTTCCTGCTGTGTGATATTGGATAGCATCTATCCCCCTCTGGGCCCACCACCAGTTCTGAGAAATTCTCATTTTGTGATTCGGGCACTTTCTCTGGCAGAGCAGACCCAGAAAAAGTCTCAGTTGGGCTATGTGGTCTGGAGAAAAGCCTAGGGCCTTTTTGACCCTCCGTCTCTTGCTCTCTGAAAAGGGAAACAATTGTCTTTCTAATAAGGTATTATAAAGTGGACTATAACTTTGGAGGCTTGTTTAGATCCCAGAAGTCATTCAGAGTAAGGGTCCCCTCTACCCAGAAAAGGCTGGATTTACCTCCATAGTCAGCTCATGTACACATGGCAAGCAAAACTCCTCTTTTGGTTTGCTATGGACAAGGGTTATTGGAACCTGTAGCAAAGGGCAGGCTCTCTTGTCTGTTCAGGGCAGCTGCCATCTGATGGGAGGTGAGAGGCTACATTATTAGCCCCAGTTGGGTA